ATGAAATTGACGATTAGGCTTAGCTTTTGTTATCGCGTGATTTCGATACATTTACGCATTCCTGTCCGCATTAAAATTGTTATTCCTTCCTGGTTGATTAGCGTTTTAGCTTCGGCGGAGCCCGCTCGGTCACTCTCTTTAGATCCATTAGTTATTAGCGCACTCCACTCGAATCTCATAAGTGCTGCCCGGAGTCGCCAAATCTTTCGAAAGAAAGAATCGAATCGTCTATAGGACATAACATTAACATTGCATTGCGATATATCTCACTACGATATTTGGACGACGTAGCAATATTGCAGAATGCAATATTCAAATATATCGCATTGTAATATCTTAACAAAATTAATGCTATATTATATTGTGATATATCGCAATGTAATATCTCAGTATTATTTATCAGTATTTAATATTGCTCAGTATTATAATATTGCAAGTTGTAATAGTACTGCAATATTGTAATCTCACTGCAATATAACTGCAATATGATATACTGTGTGGGTATAAATGTTATTAATGTTATATCTATACATACCTATATACAAGATATCCTATTTTAAACAGTGCATTAAGATTTCTTGAAAACTATGATAGATAAATGTTTTAAACAAAAGCTATATGGTTTGGAGGGGAGATAAAAAGATACCATAGATTTGACCTTGAGTGGCGTCGCCAAGATCAGATCAAGGTTACATCAATTTTATTTATTGAAACATGCTATTTTTGATGGTAGAATCTGATAACTGGTGTCAAGAGCTTTTCAAAATACTGTAATAAAATTATTTTTCATTACGTATTTTTCAAGTTTCAAGGTTTGAGTTACAGTATCGCTAGCATAGGCACTACGCAAGGTGTTCGACTGATAACTAAAACCTTTTGAATGTTGTTTAGGATCATATCCTGGATAAACATTTGTCAAGTTCAAGTCCACTGGAGATTATTCCTCTTATTTTCATTTTTGTAAAATTCATTTTTACGTTAAAATGAAAATAAAAAGTACAACGTATCACGGGCTGCGTAGAGGAGATGGGCAGAAGTCCGTGCCCACGGTTAGAACGTGAGGCACGCGGGCGCTTTACGCGGGGAGCATACTACACCTCTGTCAAATATTTTATATATGTATATTGCGACCGCACTCACGAGCGTGACGCAACTTCGTCGCGCGTTCGCAGCCAATATTCTCTTTTCTACAATCAGATTGCGTGTGACGCAAGGCCCGAGTGAGTATGCTACATTTTATTGAAATTATTCGAGATATTTTCCTCGCGACATTCCACCGAATTGCGAACGTCGACGGTACTCGTAACCGGTATCTCAGGAAAAGCATGGCAAAAGGGGCGGTTCATGGATAGAGGATAGAGGTCAAGGATAGAGGATCGTTTGGAGAAGCGAATGGGCGGTAACAATGAACCACACAATAATTAGTAATAATAAGGGTAACAAATATAGTTGATTAACCTCCGACTTTCGTTCGTACTCGTTGACAAGATCATAGCAACAGTATTCGATCGGAATGCGTTATTTTAGCCTCGCACAGGTCTCGATATGCTCTACGCGGTACGTATTAATTTCTCTTAACGGCACGAGTTCATGCCACGTAAGAATATTTTTCGCAAATCGCGCGAACAATAGCTTGATAGAGATAGGAGACGGTTACGGTATTATCACCAACACGCGATTTCGTGCTCGTCTGCGGAGCTTCGAATCGTTTTATAGAAAGTTGGAAAAAGATAGAGTACACGCAGATACCACGATACAAAGTTTTTATACAACGATGCAACTCGATACGCGACAAGACTTAAAGACAATGACTGTGACGTAGGCGGACGCGGAAAATAACTCTCCCGAAAATCTTATAACGTGCGCGCGCGAATCGTCGCGGGACACGCTTAAACGCAAGTACCGCGAAAAACCTAACGCACGACACTTCGGCGTGAGTCTCATATACTAAATCCAGCAACGATAATTGCATGTGCCTTCCGGACATGGAAATTGGCGACCTTACACTTATGTGGCGCTCGTCTCCCGTTGACCCTTCGTACGGCACCCGGCTCTCTCTGTCTCAGGCCCTTGATGTCCGCTCTTCACCGCTGCTTCTTATTCGCTCGCCACAGTACAAGTGCCAAGCGCTGATCCCTCCGGGAGCACACAGTGATCGCTATCTCCACAAGGGGGCCTTGTCGCGTCTAATTGGTCGCGCGGCCCTACGATCACGAATCGCGTGAGCTATGTCACTCACGTATCGTACGTCCTGGAGCGCAGAATTCGTCCTTGCGTCGCAGAGTTTTCTTCGGCCGCTTAGCAGACTCTCCCAGATATTCGTCTTGCGGAAGACTCGCATCTCGGTGTTGGCGTCCCCCTAGTCGGTGCCTCCGACCTTAGTG